GCCATGTCCAGAGCTCTGTCATACGGACGGGGCGAGAGTTCGTACGACAAAGACAGACGACGACACGAGGCTCGACTCCCAGCCCGTCATGGGCTCGGGGTAGGACCCGAGGATGTAGCCCATCGAGAGGATCTCGACGGCGTCGGCCGCGTTGCCAAGGCCGAGAACGCTACACGCGGCGTGGGCATGCGAGCATGAGGCAGTGCGTACGTACCAGGCCATGCGGACGTGGAAGCGGCCGCAGCCGAGCAGCTCGATCTCCTACGCGCCATGCTTGGCTCGCCATCGTGAGGCGAGATAGGTCGTACTTGCTCGACGAGCTCCTTGGCAACGTCTTCCTGGCGCTTCGCAGGCGCCACGACGGGGCGCTTCCCGCGCGGGCTAAGGATGGCGTCGGCCATGGCACGGATTGCAAACTGAAGGAGAAATCCCAACCTTGACTAGCAAAACTTCGATTTTATAAACCCATGGCCAATGAAACGCGTGCGTATTTTTATTCGTATTTTTATTCGTATTGGTTCGCGCTTGGATACGCGTTTGGTGGAGCCGCGTCGTCGCGCATAGTGCAAGCGGGCAGTTGTACGATGCATATTGTATAGGGCTTTAATAGCTACTGTGCAGCAGTTTGCTCATCCCAATTACCAGTGTCCCGAGCGACAAGTGAACGACCCGCCCAATCGGCAACAGTAGGGCAATGACACTGATGCGATTGCGCTCGCAAGACGATGCGGAGACGGAGCGATCGAGACGACGCCTATCACCGTTGGCTACTTGATGTAGCAAGAATTCGAACGCGCGAGGTACTAAGAGAAGGGCTGTGCACGGAGGAGGGATCGCGCTTCTCGTTCAATGATGTACCAACACGGCAGCCAACGCGGGCTATATATATCATATGGGCTATGTAAGGCGTTTGCGCATGAAGCTAGGTATATATATACACGCACCTGCGCCCATTCGACTTTGTGGCGATCTCCGCCCGTGTCAATGGTTGTTCACTCGGATCCGCCCCTTTTATTGATTTTATTTTCCGAATATTAATATGCAGGTGTCACACCCGTGGCCCGATTCAACTCGAAGTTCGAAGTGAGGTTGATCGGGGGGACGACGCTGGCGGCAACGCAATATCCAAGGGACGCCGCCTCGAACGCTACTGAAGGCCAGTGCGCCTCCTGGCTCGCTCTCGCTATTTATACGCTGCCGACTGTGCCAATCGCAGCTGCAGCCGACGTGGCGTCACGACGGAGCCGATCGTGCTTTTGGGATCAGATGCCCCCACCTGCGGCAAACGAAGGTTCTCTGTCCGAGCTTGGTACACATGCATTGGTTTGGATATGGCGTCTTCGGCACAGTGTACGTACGTAGAAAACCAGAGATTCGCGGACGTCGGCGCGGCTTCAAGTGCACGTATGAGCTGCACCAATGCACTGGAGGTTGCGCCCGAGGCCATCCAACTGTACTGAGCACCCTACAGTACCGTACGTAGTGCAAAGTCGGACAACAAAGACGTGGGGTGGAGACGGGTGCAGCTAGGTGCGCTGTGAATGGATCGTTGAGGCACCTGGGCCTCGCGCAGGTGATGCGCACCACGTCAGCAGCCATGCTCTGGACAGCAAGAACGGACAGCGAGCTGTGGCGAACCAAAGGGTCGCAAAAAGAACGGTCGTGCGTAATGCCGTCGTCCTGCCACTCTCTACTGATGGAGCTGATCGTACTTTGCACCAACTGGACGATGTTTCTTCTTGAAAAGTCGACCGATCACATGCAGTGCTAGGATATAGACAAAAGATTCGACAGGTCAAAAATGACGGATGACCAGAGATTGCACTTTGAGATTGCACTTTGATCGGACCATAACGTTAATGGAGCGTGAATCATGCGATGACCAATGTCTAATTTCAGACACAGGGTATAGAACGTCGTGGGGCGAGATTTTGGATTCAAAATCGGACGGCTCGAGTTACGACCTGGCTCAACTACACTAATGACAAGATTGAAACGATAGCGTAGAAGACATGTGCGTTATCAAAGGCTCAAGAGAAGCTTCAAGAGACTAGGTGTGCACCCAGAAAACAGGAAGAAAATGCTGTACCGGTACATGTTGAAGTCATGGACAACGTGAAGTTGCGTAGATTTAGACTCGTATCAATCAAGTTAATCAAGCTAAGCTCATCAATGCCATTGCATTGTGCGCGGGACGCGCCATCAAGGCAGGAACACGGCGATCGGCTTATTAGTACTACGTAGTAGTTCGCTACTGAAATGGCCACGCTCGAGTAGTACAGTACAAGCGTTGACACTACAAGAACGCGCGTCACTAAAAGCGCTGCACTTCGTCGATGAAAGCATGTCCAGTCTGACGTCGAGTTGGGTGTGTCCAGTCTCAGTCTATTGGCGATCTTGCGAACAACTCTAGACTAAGGTTGTAGGTACCAGAACGCTTCATTGGCAAGGTCGGTACGACAATCTATTCAAGACTCGCAGCGAATTCAGGACTGCAATACTAGTATCGCCAAGACTATGTCGCGAAGGTCTTTGCACCTCGCACCAATATCCTCGAGACCATCCATTGTGGCGACGGTGAGAGTAGGACAGCCAGCAACAACTCATCACAACACAGCACAGGTTCGGTTTGTAAGGAGTTGTAGCTAATCACTCGCGTTGTCTGGGGTTGTGTGCCAGTGTGCATTTTGCGACGTTGTACTACCTGCATGAGTCTGCCGCTGCCGCCGGGCTTCTTCGAATGCCCGCCTTTGTCCTCGGGCGAGGTGTCGCAACTGCAGTTGCTGGCCGACAAGGTCTGCACCGACGCGATTGCAACGGCGCTCGCCACGGCAAAGCTACCTACGACCAAAGTGCTGACCCATCCCCGCACCAAGCGCGTCGCTCATGTTCGTTCACCGACCATCTTTTCCTTTGGCGCATCATCTTTACGACTGTAGCTGCACTGGGGCACTGATCTGCACCGCCCCGAGATTGACGCAGTCACGGGCGTATCACGGATTGCCACGTCATATGACCAGCTTCACACGTTCTATGACGTGGCAACGTCCAAGCAGCTCCGCACGTTTGGCACCGTCGCCAGTCAAACGCTCTTGGACCGCGTGATGCTCTACTCGGTCGAGCAGTCGCGTTCGACGAGGTTTTGCGTCACGAGCATCCTATGGGCCGCGATGCAGAGCACTCTCTTGGGCAAGGGCGTCCTTGCCAAGCGAGACGCGTGCTACTTGGAGGTACACGTCCGTCGTTCATCATTTTCTTTCCAGTTTTGACTTGTCACGCTAGTGTCTTCGCGACGTGACTGTTGTGGACGAGCGCGGCTGTGTCCGGAACGGCTTTGTGCGCATTATCCACTCAATCGATCTCGACTGCTGTCCGTCCTTGCAGGCCACGCACCGCTTTGCCCGCGGGTACATATACCGGGTACGCTGTACGTTGTCTGCTGCATTCCGTGATCCGCGCCTTGTAGTCGGGTCATGTATTTCTCGAGACGGACATGGACGGTACCTTTGACTTTTACTCGATCTATGCCGGCCAACCAATGGGCAAAATCCCACGCCTCCTGGGGCGCAAGGTCATGGAGCGGATTGTGGGCGAGGTACTGCTATCGTGAGTCGTTTTGCGTAGTGGGTTATATCCTTTGACTAGATGCTCAACCTCGAAGACTACTTTTGCGCCGACGACGTGCAGTCACGCGTCATCCGGCAGCGCCGGCTGTCGTCGCCGGTGCCGTTTCGAGCCAACGCGTCGTACTGCGACGTGTGCTTTCGCGCGTTTAAACTCCTCTCGCACAAGCTTCAGTGCTACTTTTGCCACCACGTATTATTGACTGCATCCTCTCTGAGTACTTATTGGCTACGTTAGATTGCCTGCACACGCTGCGCCCACATCCACGTCGCGACCTCGACGCTCGGCACGAAAAAAGTCCGCATCTGCACCCACTGCTACTGCCCACCGATAGACAAGACCGCCCGTCGAACGTCTTCTCTTACCGACGGTGCAGTGTTGCGATCGCGATCCGATTTCGTCATACAAGCAGTAGACATCGCGCGACCCGCTGTCGACGTGGCTCGCGGGGAATGCATCAACGACGATGACCATGGCATCATTCTCTCCAGCCGAGTACTACTGCCCAAGCTCGCACAAGAGCCACGCGCCGTGCGATCTGCGTCCACGCGCCGTGCGATCTGCGTCCACCGACTCGACCGAGTCGGGCAGCGACGCCGCCGACCAGCAGTTAGTGGGAGTATTTGGCCTTGATTCGGCGCGCACCGCTCTCGACTCCATGTCATCGTTTGGGTCGTACGCCACCACCGTCATCACCAGCAGTGTTCGGCTTCGAACCGGCTAATTTGCGGCCACGATTTGAGATAAGAGTAGTCGAACCTCCTAACCTCCTGCTCTAGTGCGCTATAGCACGCGTACGTTCTCCATTCGACATCTCTTGCGCTGCAGTCAACGAGGCGGCAAGCGGCGTGGGCAGGTGGAAATACGCCAAGCCAAAGGCCTCTCGTATCGGATGTACTAGTAACGTTATGAGCACAAGATCTTGAGATTCAAAGTAGAGACAGTTGGTATTTGGGAGAGCGAATCGATAGTACTCGTACGATGACGTAAGACAATTTTGAACATTTAATGGATTTAGATAGCGGAATCAGAGGATTATGCCCACTTGCCGACGATGGCCATGGCGGCCGACCCGAGGTAGAGGCACATGTAGTTGAGGCCACGGCCCGTGAACGTCTTCTTGTGGAACTCGGAGTTGGTCGTGTAATGGTACGTCACGAGCTCGACGAGCCCCGTGTAGACGAGGATACCACCGGCAATCGCATCGAAGGTGCCCTTGACCCAAAGCGCTGTCGTCGACGTGTCGCTGTACGTGCTCGAGATGAGAATGCCGATAACGACACCGATCGGCGTCGTGAGCGAGTACGCAAGTGCCGAGAGCGCGAGTGTCTTCATCTCCGAGAAGGCCGAGACGGCCGAGCTACCGACAGCAACGCCTTCAAAGAACTGATGGAAGCAGATTGCAATCAAAATCGTCGTGAACTCGTCGCCCGAGCTCACGCCGAGCTCAATGCCAATGATGATCGAGTGGACCGCGACGCCGGCCTCGAAAATAAGCACTGAGATTTTCTGGCGCATCGCCGTCTCTTCGTCAGAGGGCCCCGACGCGATGACGCCGTGGGAGTGGCCGACGTGGGGCGACCGCGGCGGCGTCGAGATGACGCCAGACTCGAGCACGCGGTGGCTGGCGTCGTTGGTCTTGTCCGACGTGTACTTGGTGAGGGCGATGACGAGCTCGGTTTCA